GTATAAACTGTAGATAATACATCAGACGCATTTTAATGTTGTTGTATAAACTGTAGATAATACATCAGACGCATTTTAATGTTGTTATATAAACTATAGATAATATATTAAACGTATTTTAATTTGATAAGTAGCTGGTAACTACAAGCAACTTGATAAGTGCCTGGTAATTATAAAACTTGATAAGTGGCTAGTAATTATATAAAAACTTGATAAGTGGCTAGTAATTATAAACCGTTTGATAACTGGCTGGTAATTATCCCGTTATTCTCCATTGATACGAAGATACACTGCTTTAAGCGGTACGTTGATGAGTTTTGAACATAGATTTCACTCCACTCCCACATACTTCAACATTCCTGCCACTATCAAGTATGAAAGCATGTGAAACAGGGGGTTCTAGACCGGGTAAGTAGGATTACAATTTCTTTGTTCCTTAGCAGTCCTTTTTTTAATGGATGAACAGAATGGATACTAGATCTTACCTTCATTGGTTTCCGACAGTTTCTTAGCTTCCGCGGCTGTCTTCGGACTGCTAACAACGAACAATGTGCTCTCCATCTTTACGTCACTCACAACGTCACCAGCCTGAACTTCAAATGTAGTGAGATTAACCTCGAAAGCTGACCGTCGTCTTCTTCCAAGAGACTGAGTTTCTGTTCTGTTATCGCAGTCGACCTATAACACAAACCTGGAGAGTTATTCTTCTAACAAACACCTCCTTAAATAGAAAATCCTGAATTCTATTTTACGGTGAAATTTGCTCAGTTCCAAACACATCAATATTTTAAACCTTATGTATTAGCATAAAGTTCTGAACACTAGATGTCCTTCAACACCCAACGCTACATACTTACCATTACAAGTCGGTCAACGCAGAACAGGACGTGTTCAATGTTAGCACTGTAGACTTGCTTAGTGTTACAAATACGTTAAGTGATAATACTGTAGATTTACTTGTTGTTACAAATACGTTAAGAGGTAACACTGAGGATTTACTTGATTTTATAGGTTAACTGGTAACACTGGTTGTTTGTTTGGCGTTTTTTTGGCGCAAAACAACTAGGCTATCTGCGCCAAACAACCGGTAAAAATCTTAAAAGTAAAATTCTATAAAATGTGAATATAAATCGAATTAAAAACTAAATAATGTCCAAAATTCAGGTAAAAGATTCAAATAGAATTGAAAAGGTCAATGGCTCTTAAAATATTAAAAACACAATCAAGCTGGACATCGCCAATGACACTTTCCAGCGTCAGGGGTAAACCCGTAGAAAATACATGTCTAAAATGGTGCCGCCGCTCACGGTCGTAACGACGGCACGAAAGTAAAACGTGGGCAACAAAGGCAACACATTGGTGGATCAATACCAGGTAAAAGAAAACGATGAGTTAAAAACTGTGACCAATGCGTAGCCTAGACAAGACAACTTCCTCCTTCTGATCCTTACGAAAACAAGACGGCCAAAGAACAACGGAAGGTTTGATCTGGAAAGCTTGTTATGACGTTGCTCACTCCAAATCGACTGCCAACAGGTGCGAAGCCGAGTTTTGAATACAGGACCGTAGTCTATATATGTGAAAGCACTAGAGCAGATGGACTTAGCTGCGGTGTCAGCGAGATAGTTCCTGCAAATACCGACATGGCCAGGTATCCAGAAAAGCTGGATATTAATGGAAGATAGAGAAAAATGGGTCAGACGTTGTTGAATATCGACGAGAACATAGTGATAACTAACGTTAAGCGATTCCAGGGCCAGTAGAGAGCTAAGAGAGTCAGTGTAAATGGTACAGTCAGTGTACTGCATAGCTTCTACGTGATCCAGGGCAAAATAAATGGTATACAACTCAGCAGTGAACACAGAAACTGTAGAGGGGATCCTGTGAACAACCATTGTGCCACAGAGCCCACAGAGTCACCTGATTTCAAACCATCTGTAAAAACGGAAACAGTAGAATAGTTTGAAAAATATTTTGCAAAGAGAAGATGGTACTTCCAGTCGGGAGTATACGCTTTTCCCAGATGAATCAAAGAAATATCACAAGTGGGGATGGTAATGAGCCATGATGGGATGGATTGAGCATTGGAGACAGCAATGTCATCTAATGACAGACCCAATTCAGCCAGCTGCGCCTAGATACGAAAGCCAAAAGGAAAAATGGCAAACCGTCTATTCCGAAAGAGCATAGCCCACTGAGGAGGAAGACACAACCCTAGGTGGAATGCTGTGGTAAGGATCAAAGCTTGGTAGCATACTGCAGAGAAAGTTGCAAACAGTGGTGGTGAAGAGGAGGTTTGTGGGACTCAGTGTACAAACTCTAGATTTGAGAAGTGTGGAAAGCCCCTCTGCAGAGCCGAATCCCCAGATCATGAATGGTATTCAACATCTTCAAGGCAGTGGTTCTGGAAGAACCATAGACCAGATCCTCAGAGTCCAGTTTGGATCAAATGATATATCTTTAGCATAGAACATTGGTCCACTCCCCGAGAGGTGGAAGAGATGACATGGGGGATGTTCAGTGCCCTTGTACACTTGACACATAGCTGCTTGATGTGAGAAATGAAAGTAAGCTTATGGTCACAGATAAGCCCCGAGAACGTCGTCTCATGAACCATGGGAAGAACAACATCACTGAGACGGAGCTTGGGATTGGGGTGAACCCAGTTTTTGGCAAAAGTGCATGCAAACGGTTTTGGAGAAAGAAAAGATAAAATCGTTTGCTGTGGTCCACTTCAACAAGTGATTGATAGCAGTCTGAAGCTGCCTCTAAATAAACTTCATGAGATGTGGAAGTCGTCGACATAGTGGCCATTTACAACAGTAGGAGGAAGTTGTCAAGTAGTAGCATTGATTTTCACACCAAACAGTATGACACTCAAGACACAGCCCTAAGGGACTCCAAGTTCCTGTATAAAAGAACAAGAAAGGTTTGAATCCACACGGACTTGGAATTACCTGTCATGTAAAAGATTACGAATAAATTTGGGTAAATGGCCAAGCAACTCACATGACTGGAAGTCCCACAAAATGGCATACCTTATGTAGTGTTGTTAGCCTACTCAAGATTGAAGAAAATAGAGACAAGATATTCTCTCTTGAGAAAGACTTCCCTGATCGAGGTTTCAAGTCAAATCAGGTGATCCATGGTGGAGTGCTGTCAACAGAACCCATACTGGGTGGGCAAGAGGAGGTTGTTTGATTCAAGGAACCAAACAAAATGAGCATTGACCATTCTCTCTAAGACCTTAAAGAGGTAGAGTCAAAGCAATTGGATGATAATTAGAAGGAATCTTGGGATCCTTCCCAGGCTTAGAAAAAGAGACAACAGCCTGATGCCAAGCATCAGGAAAAACGTTCTCCTGCCAGATGTGGTTAAAGACAACCAGAAGAAGAACAAGAGAGGTAGGAGAGAGATGGCACAGCATCTCATAGTGAACATCATCAGGTCCAACCAATGTACTGCCAGACTGATGAAGAGGAAGCTTGAGTTCCACCAGCATAAGGGGTGATTATAGTCATAGAGACAATCAGCCCAAAAGGAAAGAGGTGATCATTCTGCACGAGACTTGATTGTCAAGAAGGCAGGGGAAGAAACAGACGGGCTGTAAAGATGAGAAAAGCTCTCGCCAAGAGTATCGGTGATACTCTGTACATCAGCAACTTCCTGGCCATTGGAGAGCAAGATGGAAAGCATACTTCCCATTGATTTTCCGATTCTTGTCCCATATGACTTTCGAACTGGTGGTGGAAGAGATGTTAGTTGTGAACTTAATCCAATATTCGTTTTGACTTTGACGTCTTACATACCGAGCATGGGCAATGGTCTGTTGGAAAGCAATGCAGTTGTAAAACTGGGATACCTACAACAGGTATCGCAGGCCCGTTTCAGAGCCTTCCATGCCTTCTGGCAGGCTGGAGACCACCATGAATGAGGATACCATGAGAAACGTGTCGAGGTTTTGGGTGTAGAAGGAATAACTATTTGAATGATGCAATCAGTTACTGCCTCCATGTGGTAGTTAATAAATGGAAGACTAAAGAGAGCAGGATTGAGTTCCGAAAGAGAGGTGAAAGAGAGCTAGTTGGCCTGGTCCAACGTCTACCAACGTCTCAAGTCTGGTGGCATTAATCACGGCCACTCTCCCTCAAAACTATAGGAAAATTATCACTGCCCCATCGGTCACTGTTGACCCTCCAAGGAAAATGAGAAAAAGTGAAGGGGAACAGATAGGCAAATCAATAGCAGTAAAAGACTGACTAGATGCATGACAATATGTAAAAGAACCAGTACTGAAGACAGAGAGAGGTTGTGATATGAGAGCACACGCTTCATGGAACGACCCCTCCCATCAATATCAGCACCACCCCAAAGAGGATTGTGTCCATTAAAGTCTCCCAAAATGAAAATAACTTCCAAGCCTTGGGGTAAGAAATGTTGTTAAAAGTTTTTAAATGCTGTACCTCTTTCTCCTCCACCCACTTAGGACAAGAACGAAAATAAGAGGAATGGGAACCACCACAATTAACACAGTGAGGGTCCAGTTGACACTTGTAGGCATCATGATCTTTGCCACCACACCAAGCACACATCACAGAACCACGATAAGATGTCTTCGAATGATTGAACCACTGATACTTGAAACATCTGAGAGAGTTAGGAATATATGACCATACCTTACAATTAAGATAACCTGACTTGACTTGGCAGGTAGACATGTCGATGTAAATGTCAAAATAAGAATACTGGCAGGCACCATAATTGCATCTTTATGAGTGGAAATATGTCACACTGCAGAAACTCCTTGACTGGAGAAACCAGCGAGGATCTCCGACTCGGTGATGTTCTTCAAATCCATCTCAACAGTAACTCCTCGTGGGGAATTCAAACTAGCATGAAGAGTAACCTCAATGGGTATATACCCAATGACCTTTGAATTCAGAAGGAGTTTTCTGTATTTTAGTGTGGATATTTCCACCAAGATGTCCCAGAACATAGTTTCCTAACTGAGTTTGGAGAGCCAGCAAGTCCCTCTGATCCCTTCTGAATAAAAAAGGAACACATTTGCCCTAAAAGTTTGTCTGAAAAACGAGGTACAGGTTCACAATGGGATAAAGATTGCTGGTCAGAGGCATCAAGACTGATCGTTTTACAATTAGCTTTTTTTTACTATTTTATTTTTTGAGAATTTGGGGGATTCATAGTAAAAGGAGAAAGATTCAATGCCCACTTATCCCACCCATCATGGTGTCTTACGAGGGAATGCACTACAATGCCAAACAAGGGCACAGCAGTAACTCCAGTGTTTCGTGAGCACTATACCCAAACACCACCATCAGACACAATGTCCACAACACCCATTGAGAATGCCCAGCACTGGTACTCAGTTGACCCTAGTCCAACAGGATCAGCAGATTGACCACCCCAATGCTACCCATCTACAGGAATTCATGGCCAAATTGGTGTGTTGCAGTGCCCCAGGCATCATTCAACCACCAGGATCCTCTCCTCCCCTTCACGGGTCGGACGGCAAACACGTGGGTGGATGTTCAGATCCAAGAGAAGGTAAGCTAAAAATATAGAACCTACCCTGGGTGGTCCTCCCACCACGTACAGGAATCACCTCAAGGGGGGCAACACTGTAGACTTACTTCACGTTATAGGTTAACTGG